GATTGAGCCTGGTGGAACCACTGAGACTATGGCCCCTAGCTGCCCTTCACATCTGGAATTGAACCCACACCCGTGGTTTCCAGCCAAACAAAAGACAGGCATATGAGTTGAATATTTACCTCAGGTAGATACACTCCTTGGACAGAACAATCATGGGAGAAAGAAGGGCTGCTTATGCACAAGGAGACAGCTTAGGGGGCAGGAGTGCATGGAGGGATGGACACTGGGAAGAGGTAATTATGGGGAGGAAGTGGGAGGGGAGCTGTTGCATTGTGCTAAACTGTGGTCAATGTCATGAGACAAAGTGTATGAGAACTGCTGTATGGAAAGTGAATTTTCTCTGTAAATCTTCATCCAAATCACAATAAAAAAAAAAATTGCTATATACTTGCAAATATTTACATAATAAGAGTTCAAGCTCAGAGAACATAAAGCATGTTCCTTGACAGCTTGACTCCCAATGCTTAAAAGAATGAGATTTTGAGACAGACTGACCGCAGTTAAACCCTAGTTCTACCACTGCTTAGCTTTGTGACCTTGGGCAAATTTCTTTAACTCTAAATCATGGTTTTCTTGTCTATAAATTGGGAACAAAAAGGCATCTATGTCTTAAAGTTGTTGTGTGGACTCAATGAGAAAATATGGGGAAGTGGTTATCATAAGGCTATCTGTCACATAATAAGCACTCGATAAATATCAGTGGTTTTAGTTACAGAAGCAAACCACAGAAATAAAACCTAGCAATGAAAACTAGGAAACTACACCATTGCTTCTGTAAGAAGATATTTTTGACATACTACACTAATTTCATTTTCATATCATTTTATATTTAAAAGTATTTCTGCACAATCACATTTGGTAATATATGTTGTTGTTGTTTGTTGTTGTTGTTGTTGTTATACGCCATCAAGTCAGACCTGACTCATTGGTACTACATACTCTGCCTGAGCTCTGGTAGAAGGCTGGCGGATCAAACCCACCAGCCCCTTTAGAAGGAGTGATACTGCCTCAGAAACCCAAAGAGGGGTCACTATGAGTCGGGTCCGATTCGACAGCACATAACAACAACAATATTAATGTTAAGGTCTATCTCCTAAGTGCCCACAAAACATTTCCCTAGTCATATTTCTATTAAAAAAAAAAAAAAAAAATGCTTGCTAAAAGAGTTAATACAAAAACACGTAACAGTAATCACTATAACTTTAAAGTAAATCATACTGGAGAAGAAAAACAATTATTTTAGAGATCATATAATTTTCTAGGCTTACTCCCCTATCTAAGTGATACAAATTTTCAAAGAGAAAATATGATAAAATTCAAAGGCCATTTTAATTTTGGAATTAATTATTTTAAAGATTCAGCTGCTGTTTTGAAGAAAATAACAAATACAAGATTAATTACAGGAAATGTACAAGAAAGTACTGACAGTGAGAAAAAGTGCTAGTGTTCTCACTTCTTCAATAAGGAGAAAAAAGCTAAGAATGAACATTAATGAATTAGAAGCAACACCTCTTCATTGTAATATGGTTGTCAGTATGAATTAGAGGAACCCTCATGGTGCAGGGGTTAAAGTGCTCAGCTACTAACCAAAAGGTCAGTGGTTTGAACCCACCGACCCCTTAGTGGAAGAATGCCATGGCAGTCTGCTTCTGTAAAGATTTACAGCCTTGGAAACTCTATGGAGCAGTTCTACTCCATTCTACAGAGTCACTAAGAGTTGGAATTGACTGAAGTCAGTGGATTTTGGTATAAGATGATTTATCACACATTGTATGTGTATTTGGTAATTCACTTCAAAGTATGCCTTTTGCATATATCAGCTCAGGACATAAGATAATAACTCTTTCAATTGAGTCCCACAGATCCCCAAAGGTTCAAAGGTCAGCCAACTCTGGAGCCATAGTTTCATGTTTCTGGACCAACGTAATGCCCACCCACCACTCCCCAACCAATTCAACCAAAGCCACTCTGTTTTTTTTTGTACTTGTTTGATTGTCCAATAATATTTCTCTTTCTCAAAAGATCTGGAGCTAAAACCCACTGGTCTAGAATTAGTGGTTCTGGTATCTTTTCACATATGTACATTTCAAGTGAGAGAATCAATAGTACCATTAAAATCTACATTGTACATTTTCCATAAAAATGTTAAGTCCCACATTGTTGTCATATACATATTTACTGTTGTACCACCAAAAAAAAAAAAAAAAAAATCAAACAAATGATTTTCCATTACTTTACCAAAACAACAAAACTCATTCCCATAGAGTAGATTCCAAGTCATAGCAACTCTATAGGACAGGACAGAACTGCCTCATAATGTTTCCAAGGCTGTAATCTTTACAGAAGCAGACTGCCACATCTTTCTCTCATGGAGCTGCTGGGAGGTTCGTACTGCCAAACTTCCAGTTAGCAGCCAAGTACTTAACCACTGTGCCACCAGGGCTCCTTCAATTACATTAAAGACAGCAAAATGTGTTTTCAGACTTGACGTTTTTGTTTATTATGTCTTTCATATCAAAAAGGAACAACTAAGATGCAAATTAGAATCTGTGGCATAGTTAATAAGCTATTCCTGAAAAATAAAACCTGTGTCAGGCCATAAGGCTTTATTCATGTTAGTCTTCAGTTCTCACACACCATTTGATTTTATGAATATTTTCTTGTGTTGGTACCTCATTCATAACATCAAGCTGTCAACTACTAAAAGTTTTCATATTTAAAACCTAATTCAACTAGTTTCTTAGATGAGCTCATTTCATAAGCATAATCCAACATCCAAATGTATTCTCCCTCTACATAAGTGCAGCATATTTGCTGACTCAGCCTGATACCTCATCTATTTGTGGAGTGATTACTTGATCATAGCCATGTTCCTGTGAGGAGAATAGGCCTTAAAATAAAATGCTTCTCAACATAGCACTCCTGGCAATAAATGGGGACTGTATTAGTGCCGGCAGGCAAATGATGCTTATTGCCCTCTTGGCCTTAAAGATAAGAGAATATAGTTAGTTGACACTAGATGAACCTTGCTCCAGGTGTTCCTCATTCATTAAATATTTTACAAATTGCCTAAGCAAATCTAATTAAGAAGGTACATCTCCATGTAAATACATACATATATGCAGATTTATCACCTTAATATGGCTGAATCATATGAAACTACCAATATTCAACTACTTTTTACACATAAAATAGCAATTTTAACTTTATATATGCATATACACATACTCAAATGCAATATATTCCTCATACAAATAATAGGACAGTTATTTCTTTTGGTGGATAATTCATATCTGTACTTTTCTCTATCCATGAAGATTAAAAAGGAATATACAACAGGATGTAATATGAAGAACCATTTCCTATCTGATTACCATGAAATAATGAAGCAAAAATAATTCTGTGTACTCTCAAAAGGCTGAAATCTTCAACAATTACTACAAGCAAAATCACTGCAAGAGAAAAGATGCTTCTGTGGCCCTACCATGCATGTCTTCAAAGGGAAATGGAAATCAACCTACCCAGCAATGTTGGCCATGGAGCTTAGTGCGTCATATCCCTGAGCAATTGTGACTCTTGGAACCTGGTCCATTGCCAGGACTGTACATTTTCTTTCAGAAAGTTTATTTAGCAAGTCTGGATTTTGGGCTGGGTAAATAAAACTAATCAGTGTTCCTGATGTCTTTAAAAGATCAGCTTCGTGAACACCCAATGTTGGATTAACCATAGGCGCTCGCACCTGGGAAAAAAGTCAAACCACAGATTAAAAACAGAAACTCCTAATTCGTATTTTAAGTAGGTAGAACAATTTAGGTATTATGCCATGAATTAATATTCCAGAAATCAGTCTTTCATCAATAAATTTCTAACAAAATTCTTAAGTAAGATAAGACACACAAAGTTTATACAATTGTTCCTCTGATCGATGGCCAAAGGTCTGGTTTAGGAAAAGAGCATACACACCTGGGAAACACACAGTGTCAGATAGGTCTGACAATTAGAGCAGTGAAAAAGAAACATAGATTCTACAATAAACCTGTCCTTCCAAAACCTATTATTCTGGTAAGATTAAGAGACATTATAATAAAAGAACAGGAAATTTTTGTTGTGTTCAAGGATTCAATACTTGCAAATTTTAATATTTGGAGTGGTGATAAGAACATTATAAACTAAAGTCTCCATGGTAGTATGTATAAACTTACATCATATTAAAATTCCAGATAAGTATTTATAGATGAACACATTGCAAACTAGTATCCTTGATAAATAAGATGTATGCATAAAGCTAAAATACATTCTAGTAGGTTAACAAGTATCAAATAAGCCAATGAACACATACTCAACATGCCTGATAGCTTCAAATGACCACTTGTTAAAGTGTTTTACACGCAAGTTTAAAACCAATCTTCAATTAATGAATATCACATCATTAGCTCCCAATTTGTAGTAATGTTTTAGGTGAATAAACACAGAAAACACAGACTCTGGAATTTCTGTTCTTTAAAACAGTATTTTCCCTTTAAGGAAATACAAATACAAACACAGCATCAATATTTGCATATCACAGCATTTCACCTCCATTTACCTATGAGACATCTTTGTCTGTTATTCCTATTTCAGTTGCTGACCAGGTGATGCATGTGATTCTAGGTTCTGGACTTTAATTAAGACTCTCTGACAAGGTCTATTTTCCTCAATGACAATCTATAATACAGATTTAGTAAAAATCAGAAGGTAACTTTGAACTGATTATATTGGTTCCGACCAGATGCTCAGCTGAGTCTGCAGGCATCTGAGTGAGCCAAGCTAAGAGAATGTTTCCCTACATGTGTTTTTTTGGATCACTAGTTTCTTGAGATATTAACAGGCATGACTCAAACAAAGGCTCCAAGGTCAGGTATTTTACTAATGCTAGTAATAAGGTTACACAACTTTCTACATTATAGGATTTCTCAGTATCTCTAATAGGCTCATACATATTGAAAGGGCATAGAGCATTTCCAAAAATTATTTCCATCCTACTAATTCTTTCTTGCTATGGTGGCACAGTGCCTATGGCATCTGACTACCAACCAGAAGGTTGGTGGTTCAAACCTACCAGCCACACTGTGGAAGGAAGACCGGGCAATCTACTTCCATAAAGATTTACTGCCTTGGAAACCCAGTGGAGGTCGCTATGAGTCAGAATTGACTCAATGGCTGTTAGTTTGGTTTGGTTTTGAATTCTTTCTTGTGGGAACACTGCAGTAGAACATACTCAGTAATGGATTTTATTTATTCTATTTTTCCTAAACTTTTTTATGATATCAAGCTATATCACCAAGCATCTACAAACTTAAAAACTTTAAAAGCTTTAGCTGAGTTATAATTGCTCTCTATACCATGAATTTTATTAATTTTGGAACACTGTAGGAAAAAATGGTCTTGCTTCTGCAAAAACTTCTATTTAAGATACTGCAGTTATTCAGTGGACTGTATGTAAAAAACTATGTGGCTGATTCCTTTTAGACATGAAAGCAGGGCAAAGCTTGTCTTTCCTGAAAAAGTGAGCAGCTTACTTTAATTAGACATTTAGATGTATATGATCCATATTTCTCTTTCTGCCTTGGTTGCAGAAGGCTCAGAACATAATGCTCAACTCTACTAATCATCTTATGTTGGATTCTTGATACAGCTCTCCATTCTCTTGTATGTTTTTTGTTTGTTCTTTACTTTAGACTTGAATTCTATTCAAGCATATAGATTTCCATTATACATCCCCTTAAGGCTTTGTTTAAAGTACATGAGGAGACTTGCCAGTCAGTCCAATGTTGCCTTCTCCAAAAGTCATGCCTTCTCCAGAAACAGCAGTTAGGTAGTATAAATCACTGTGCCAACTAGTTATCAGAAGTTGACTGTACATACTGTTCTAGGCTGACTTCCATATCTTCTTACCATTCTAGCAGTTTAGGCACTCACCTGTGAGTATTTTCCCTAGCCAATTAAAAGGCAATGTTCACACAGCAAACATAAAGATGTCTGAAGATCACTTTTCCTGTCCTCATGGTTAAATATATATGACATTGCCTGATAAAAGTCCTACTGGAACACAAAGAATATTCAAAACATGCAATGGTTTCTTTGAAAACAGCATCCTTTACAAATATGAAAAGGTACAGCACCAGCAAAAGTAATCTAATTTTGCTAGGAAAAGATTTTGAAAAGTCAGCATGCTGTAAATGGGAGGGGGTGGGAATAATTACTTTGACCACCAAATCAGAAGCCAGCACTTCCTTGGTCCCTTGGATCTGAGCACCTGCTGCTCTGTAGTGATCATCTGAGAACTTGGAAGCTTCGCCTGCACCTGACTCCACCACCACATTAAAACCCTGCTTGACCAGGGCCTGAACACCTGCAGGTGACAATGCCACTCGCTTCTCATTCTGGAAAATCTCCTTGGGGACTCCAACAGTCAGTTGTTTATATGGAATTCCTACAAACAGATAGATGTAAAAAAAAAAAAAAAAAGGAGAGATTAATTTGATTAAAAAGTACCCACAGCATTTAATAAGAAATTTCAGAAAAATGAAACGGGCAGTCTGCATTTGAAAACAGACTGCACAGATAAGTTGCTATTCAAAATAATGTTCCCGATTCATCATCTCAGTTCTTTGATTTTTTTTTTTTCAAATAAATGATGAGAAATTTTTTATGCTACTTTCTTAAAAATTCTAAATATTTTCTTTAACCAAATGGCCTTATTCAAGGGACATGATTAGACTGGTTTATTCTTCAGGGAAAAAATGGGGTGAGAGACCACTGAGTGTGCTAACTCACCCTCTTCAAACTAACTCTCTAGGGTTATGAACTCCCTGACCTTACCTTTAAGGAAAACACAAATAATGACCCTTTTAAAAAAATAACCCTGTGCTAGAAAATAATGGCCTGCCACACTCAGCGTGCCCTTCCTGTCAAGAGGGCCACAGGTAATTCTTCATAGACTTCCAAGTGTTGTACCTTGAGGCCTTGGAAGACTAGCCACAACTGATTAGACCAGGGTTTAGCAGCTGGGTCAAAGATAATCATCTGCAGGCCAGACAGGAGGAAAATGAACCCCTTCAAAGACAACCTTATTAAGAACTTTGCCCATGAACACTCCATACTGACCACTGATTACTCAGCCCAACCAGATTCTCTCTTAGGGAACTTGAGTAAGAGACCAACAGAAAGGGAGAAAACGAACAGAGTAGTGAAAAGCCACTGTAGGCAAAGTCATGAGGCATCAAAGGGAGGCCAACAGCGACAGTGGCAGAAGCATCAGTGGTGGCTATAAAGAGTCTCAAGAATGGTAACATGTTACCACAGCTTTGGAATATGGAACAATAGTGCTCTTCTCTGAAAAGGAGATGAGGGGTTTTCTGGGATCCTACACTTGCCAAAAATCCAAACAATAAGCTCTCATAATAAAATATAATTCAATGTGTCTCCATTCCTTCCAACCCAAATCAGTCAATATAATACAGGTTAACTTTGGCTAAACAACATCAGTCTTTTCTGCTATTTTAATCAACATGTAGGCACAAATCAATATTGTTAATAAAAAAATAAATAAACATACTGCCATGCAGTCAATTCCAACTCACAGTGACCCTCCTTGGGTTTCCAATATGGTAAATCTTTATGGAAGTAGATTGCCCCATCTTCCTTCTGTGGAGTGGCTGATGGGTTTGAACTGCCAACCTTTTAGTTAGCAGTCAAATGCCTTAGGCACTGCACCACTATAGCTCCTTATTTTTATAAAAAGCATCTGCTTATCTTTAAGGTTTACTAAAGTTTAGGAAGTCCACTCTTGCAACCTAAACTCCCACTACCTATCAGTGTGTTTCACTGTGGTGTCTTGCATGAGACTGTAGTGCTAGAAGCTATGCCACCAATATTCAATGCCAGCAGGGTCATCCACGGTGGAAAGGTTTTCAGCAGAAATTCCAGATTAAGGTCTGGAAAATGGACTGGCATTCTACTTCTAAAATAACTGGCCAGTGTTACCACTGTCAACCACTCAGAGGGGGATCTATGTAGGAGATCCTGGATAGAGAGGGACAACAATGTGGAACAAAATCCAAAATCATTTGGAAATAAAAGGGAGGGGGGGACCAGGTTTGCTGGTCTGATAGAGCCTGGTAGAACCACTGAGACTATGGCCCCTAACTGCCCTTCAGGTCTGCAATTGAATACACACCTGTGGTTTCCAGCCAAACAAAAGACAGGCATATGAGTTGAACATTTACCTGAGGTAGATACACTCCCTGGAGAGAACAATCATGGGAGAAAGAAGGGCTGTTTATGTACAGAGAGACAGCTCAGAGGGCAGGAGTGCATGGAGGGATGGACACAGGAAAGAGGTAACTATCGGGAGGAAGTGGAAGGGGAACTGTTGCATTGGGGTAAATTGTAGTCAATGTCATGAGACAAAGTGTATGTAAACTGCTGTATGGAAAGTGAATTTGCTCTGTAAACTTTCACCCAAATCACAATTAAAAAAAAAAAAAAAATTGGCCAGTGAAAATTTTATGAATAGCACCAGTATTTCAAATACCAGCAGGGTCACCCATGGTGGACAGGTTTCAACAGAGCTTCCAAATGAAGACAGACTGGAAAGAAGGACAGGGCCATTCACTTCTGAAAAGAGTGCCCACTGAAAACGTTATGAATAGCAGTGAAACACTGTCTGATATATTACTGGAAAACTTCATGAATAGCCCTAAAACACTGTCTGATATTGTGCCAGAAAATGAGTACCTCAGGTTGGAAGGTGCTCAAAACATGACTGGGGAAGAGCTGCCTACTCACAGTAGAGTCGATCTTAATGACATGGATGGAGTAAGGCTTTCAGGATCTTCACTGCAGATGGGATACAACTCAAAATGGGAAGAAACAGCTTCAAACATCCATTAATAATTGGAACACAGAATGTATAAAGTATGAAATTAGGAAAATTGGGAGTTGTCAAAAATGAAATGGAATGCATAAAGATCGATATCCTAGGCATTACTGAGCTGAAATGGACTGGTATTGGCCATTTATAATCAGACAATCATATGATCTACTATGCTGGGAATGACAAATTGAAAATGAATGACACTGCATTCATCATGAAAAAGAACACCTCAAGATCTATCCTGCAGACGTCCAGTAAGATGATGCAATAGGGAGAAAGACTGCACAGACCCTCTTCAACAAAGAAAAGGGGAACCAATTAACACAGACACAGAAGATAATCCTGGAACCCTGAGCCTTGAAGGAAAGGATATAGAAGTGGACTAAACCCCAACCAGCAGAAGAATTGGCATAAAAATACCAAAAATGGAGACATATGGAGCTGCGGTCTGGCAGCAATCCTGAGAGAGCCTGACAGCACAGCACAGACAGCTTGGAGAGTGTCGAGTGGTGGTAGGACCTGAGAATTAACCTAAAAATCAGCCCTGCTAGCCAGGGATAGCACAGAGGACTGCTCTGGTGGCTGGGGAATAAAA